ACTTTCTCCCATCTCCTGACTGCATCTCTGGAGCTCAGCTACAGTCATCTTTGGGTTCTTCTGTACCTCTCTCACCAAGGCTCTTCTCCCCTGGTAGCTCAGTTTGGCCGTACGGCCAGCTCTAGGAAGGGTTCTGGTCGTCCCAAACGTCTTCCATTTCAGGATTATGGAGGCCACTGTGCTCTTGGGAACCTTAAGTGCAGCAGAAATTTTTTTGTAACCTTGGCCAGATCTGTGCCTTGCCACAGTTCTGTCTCTGAGCTCTTCAGGCAGTTCCTTTGACCTCATGATTCTCATTTGCTCTGACATGCAGTGTGAGCTGTAGGGTCTTATATAGACAGGTGGGTGGCTTTCCTAATCACGGTCAATCAGTATAATCAAACACAGCTGGACTCAAATGAAGGTGTAGAACCATCTCAGGGATGATCAGAAGAAATGGACAGCACCTAAGTTAAATATATGAGTGTCACAGCAAAGGGTCTGAATACTTATGACCATGTGATATTTCAGTTTTTCTTTTTTAATAAATCTGCAAAAATGTCAAAAATTCTGTGTTTTTCTGTCAATATGGGGTGCTGTGTGTACATTAATGAGGAAAAAAAATGAACTTAAATGATTTTAGCATATGGCTGCAATATAACAAAGAGTGAAAAATTTAAGGGGGTCTGAATACTTTCTGTACCCACTGTATATTAAACATCCATCAGGAAAATCATGTTGGTAAACTACTGATCCATCAAAAAACTGTTGTAAGCTTAAAGGGGAAAATCTGCCACTTTTACTATGGATGTTCAGTCAGTGGTGTAAGTCAGTGTTGGTAAGAGTAGCTGGTTTTACAGGAGATGAAGTGACAGTGGGTATCAATACTACACCATGTTTTGGATGTCCACAGCTGGACTGATGATGGAGTACAGCAGCATTACATGCATGAACCATTGAGTGAGGAAGAAGAAGACATGGGCTCCCCTGCCTATGAGAACTTGCTTGCTCTGGTCTAAGAAAAGCATCTTCTGAAGGACTTTGAGAGCATGGGCCTCTTCAAACATACAGGTGAGCATTTTGTTTAGCATTATTCACTTTGGAAAAGCAACACTGTGGTAGAATTCTCATTTCTGAAAGCAATGCTGTTTTCCCACAATGCTATGTTGAAGTACATGCCCAAGACGCAACAATTCACATGCATGGTGATGAGGGAAAGGGGGCAACTTATTGTTTTGGAGCACAATGAAAATACTATGAAGATGAAGCATGCCACAAACAGCAAAGAAAGGAAACACATGTTGATTTTTTTTTTAAATATGATACTTAATATGGAAATGTCAGTTTGTTGTCAGGTTGGTTTCCTGATAACTTTTTAAATAAACTCAACACTTCACCATAACGATTTTAAAGAAGGATGGTGAAAATGTGACAGTGACCATAAGCTGAGCCAAGTCTTCATCTGTTATGTTTCTCTAAATATACTTTTTGTAATTTCAGGTGAGGTAAAAAGGAAACTACTTCTGGAAGTCCATGCAATGGGTTGTGAAGACACATTTATAAACCCTTACAAGCACAACTTCAGAGTGCGCCTCTTAGAACTTGTCTTACCACAAAGAAAGGACCCTACTGTTGTCTACAAAGTACCAACGATATCACTCCAGCTCCCTCAACCTGCTCTTCCTCCAAATACTGCAGCAGTCCCAAACCCAACCACAGAGGAAACACGTGCACAACACAAGACTTCCAAAATATTTCAAAAACAAAGTAGCAAGTAAAAACAGCCTATTAACAATTTAATAACATTTTAAGAAAGTTACTGGCCAGTTACATAGTTCCATGTCTGACATTTTAGTAGTCTAAAAGTAGTATAGGGGGATAAATTGAACAGGGTGACACAGTGACTGATGAAAGACAAGATGAAATACTGCTCACCTTGTGGCAGATTTCTGCCTTAACCTCCTTCAGTGCACGATCAGAGAAGACACAGCCACAGGTCTGCAGGTAGCAAAACCTGAAAATAGAAATACCAGAGAAAATGTTTATTTCTAAAACTTTCTGTGGCTATTCCTTCCACAAATTGAACAAAACTGTAAAAGGGCTCTTTTGTGTTTCTGTGTAGTGCATTTCTAACACTATTAGGTTTAAACCATTGGATGACAGATGTGATAATGGTAATGAGAAGTGATAAACATCTTCCACCATTTTCACAAGATATATCCATTTGAATATCCATAGCCACTGAATATCATACAGCCAAAGGAATCAAGATAGAAGCAGTGTTAACTACAGATGTTTATACAAAACACTGATACAAATCACCTGAATTTAATGATACATAATGTGATCAAAGTTTCTAATGGGTCTATAAATTAAGTCTCACTTAATGAGTTGGAAAATATTATTAAAATGAATCAAAAGTCCTCCTTTTTTTATACTTCACTTATTTCTTCAGTTAAGTACCCGCTTTTTGATTATTCTTAAAGGCTTCTGCTTGATGTTATTTACCTGTGCTTGCCATTCATCTCTAGGCCAACAACGGGGCAAATGAACATGCCACAGTGGATGTCCTCATAACGGTCTCCTTTAGCATTTCTTCTTTCTCCCTCCCATTCTGGATTATCAGTCAGGTTTAGCTCCTTAATATCCTTGAAAAGGAGTGTAGAAAGAAGCACAATAAAACCAAAGAGAAATCAACACACAGATGTAGACAACTAACACACAAATATTTTCAAACACACCCAGAATTTAGAAACTTGGTCTCAATGGACAGATGAAGAAATAAGCATGTATTTTGACAGATGTATAAAACTTAATTGGCTTCACCATACTTTTATCCCACGAACGTGTGCAACAGCCTCCGCATTGGGCCTCTCCGCAGACTTATCCAGAAGATATTCAATGATAGCATCTTTGTTGTAGAGTCTGAAACATAACATTGTTCTAACGTTTAGTACAGTGTGATATTTAATCAGGTGCAAAAAGGATGAATGAACTATACTGATGATGAAAAACTTGCCAGTTACACTCAACTCTAACGTAGGTCTGTGGCTGAGTTATGTACACACTGACACTCAATGTCATATTATGAAACCATCTTGCCTTCACAGTAAATGAGGGGGCTAACCTGGCCTGATGTTTGATGAAATGAAAAAATGAGTCAGCTCTCACCTTCCCAGTTCACAAGCAACGATGGGGCGTCTGAGTTTTTCCTGGCTCAAGGCACAGTACTTCCATTTGGCGGCCAGCTCTGCATTTTTATCAACCTAGCACAATTAAAACGCAACATTAAATATATGTTTGATGGAAGTCAAGCTCTGCTTTTTATGCTTCTCTCTGCCATTATGTCTTCACTACTCTACATTGAAATTCTGGACACCTTGTATTGTACAACTCAAGACGTTTGTCTTATGGACATTATGCCATTATAACTATGATATTTTAAAAGATATCTATGTAACTTGCCGTGTACATCGTCTTCAAAAAGGAAACCGTGCAGGCATTTAACTAATCCAGCGATTAGGTAGTTTATCTTTATCTATCTCGTGTGCTTACAAACTGTTATCAAGTCCATCATTGATTAATTGTATTAAAAATAAAATGCCCGAATAATATAGTGTTAGCATGCTAGCAACATAGCATATAGCAACATACTAACAGCTTTCGACAACAAAATTGAAGAAATGGAAATAGTAGAAAAACAAGAGCAACACACCTTCTCTATCTTTTTGGGGCCTTTTACCAACTCGTGTCTTTTCGGAATCGTGCCACCATCACATCCCATTTTGAAAACTGACTTGTGAAGTTAAATTAGCAAAATAGCTTAGCTAGTAGGGACAAAGCAACTCACAAGCTGGCAGGAAGTTCTCAGGTTGTAAACAAACAACGAGAGATCAGCAAACCTCGCGGGATGTGCGATTAATATGATGTCGCCCTCTATTGGCTGAATGAACAAAACTTCACATTCTTCGGGTGTATTTTGTAGCTTCATCCACAGAGCGGAAGCATCACTCCAAATATTTAGTTTACTATATTATTTTTAGCAAGCATCCTGAAGCAGAAGCTGCAAGAGGAATGGGAAGCAAGTGGCAGTTACACAGATTGGCACATGCATATATTTGATTTATTGGCATATAAATCCAGGATGAGAAGAGGACAGACTACAGTTGGGGTGGTGGTATGTGTACAGATATCTTGCCATAAACATCAACCCTTTAAAAATCGTCTGGTGTATTCCTTTTTGTTGTATTAACATTTTAACTGATAAAAGATTGCTGCAACAAAATGCTTTCTTGCATAACTTAGTTTAGCAAAAACTACATTGTACTATTGTAGGTGTGCACGTAAAAAAAAAAGAGAGAGTGAGAGAGAAACCCATAAATTACTTCACTCTTTTAGCGCCCATCCTTCTATTAGACCTTTTCAGTCAGCCATTAAACCCAGAACTAGTAAGTGACATTAGTCTGGCTTTCAAGCCTGTTGTCAGAGTGGTATAAAGATGAAAGTTTCCTTGGAAGATAGTTCAGTGAGTGCTAATGAGATCTGTTTCCTGTGCCTTGCAGCCTGCAGATTAGTTTACTATCGATGGCGCTGTCCAAGAGCGACCATTAGTTTGGGGAATACCTTAGTGGAGACATCTCTGGCGGCACTGCTGATTATCTGTGTGGAAAAGAAGACTGAATAAAAATATAGCAATGGACTTAATTTGGGCTGAGAAAATAGATTTTAACCTCTTTATGTTCACCACACTCAGGAAGATGCTTTTGTGGTTCCCAAAATGTAAAAAAAAAAAAATGAACAGATATAAACATAAGAAAATTTCTCCATATTTCCTGTTGGTTCGATTAGTTCTTCCTGTAATTTATAAATTGTGTTACGTGTCTTATTGAATTTCCCTCCTTTCTCACACAGAGCTAAATGTTTAGTATAGATTTTCATTAGAGGCAATGGAGTGAAAGCTCTGTTAGCAAACTACAGTATCTTTGAGAGAGCAGAGCACCTCAGGTTGACAGTGCAAGCCAACACCTCAGGAACACACAGTGCACAATGGCCACTGGACAAGAGAAGACAAGAACAACAGCCTACTGTCCCTGACTTACATGTTTTGTTGTGTCGATTCAGAGCCAGATAGATCTGTTTTCAGAGCTTTATTATAGCCTTATGCATTCACATTGACTTATGCCTGATATACCTAATCACAAAAAAACATACTCAAAAGTAAAATGTTAAAATACATATGAGTGGGAAGTCATGTATTGTTATTTATTTATTTTTTACATTTTTACTCTCTAAATGCTGATTTCAATATCTTCAACTTTGAAGAAGCAAATATACATAAGTCCCTTGCAATAACCATCCTATGTTTGGCATACAGAAAATTATTTTAAAGACTTTGTTCATGTTTTTTATTACTTGAAACATGGTTAAAAGCCAGACAGGTAATGCTAACAGTTGTTTGCTACTTGTCATTCATGCAGGCAAATATTGCAGCTTCAGCCGTAACGTGTGTTGTCACAGCTGAATTATAATAGAGGAACCATAAAATTACAAAAAAAAAATTTAAAAGAGCATCATGAAGGTCTATTTGGAGGTGATTGCATGTTGGGGAGTTCAGGTTAATTTTTAAAATAATATCATATTTATCTGTTCAGATATTTTGCAACTTAGAAAATGAGGTGCAGTGTAAAAAACCTTTGTGGTTCATTACATTTTTATCAGATACATTTTAAACACCTTATAATTGCAGTGAATGAGCAGTTAAGTAACTTGTGTTATTTCACATCTGAAGTGACTGCAATCTAGTGACAGAATGTGTCACTGCCAGTATGTATTGATTCTGACTGTATTGATCACATCTTCTCTACTTTAACATATGAAACCTGAGTTTGCAAAGCTGAAATGCAGCTTCCTCCTGACTGAATTCCCCACCACACATATCTTGCTGTTCTGCTGTGGTGCTATCCAACGCGGCTGACCTAAAGAAAACCCCAACCACCAAGCGCCCATCCAGCCTTGTGTTTATACTTCCATGATGAGCCCAACCTGCCCAATCAGAGCTGCACTGACTGGCCTTGAACTGAAACTGTATACATCTAAACCATCCCAGCCATCCGAAGCAGCCACTGGAGACCAAGGCTGCATTAATTGCACTGATCAGCCCTGGTAGTGCACCGAGTCCAATGCATTTAGCATTTCTAATTGTGCAGGAATTGCAGTGTTTACATTGGCGCTAGTTCATAGAGCTGGACCCTTAGCCCTCTAGCCAACTGAGCTAAAAACTCTTTAAAAGAGACAAACCCAAACTGCCCAGTCCCTGAATTCTCCCTGGAGACAGCTGCAGGAAATTATTTGGAACAAAATAGAAGGCTATTTATTGGAATTTCTCAAAGGAACTGGGAGAAGGTGACTCTTGTTTTCTGTCAGATTTTTGTTTAACTCTGTAGAGCATGAATTTGATCATTTGTGCTAACTACAATAATGCCATAATGTGAGGGAGGGTCAAATTTGGGCTATTATGCAAAAGACTACACTAAACCACTGTGGAAAAACCTTGTGTTTACTTAAGAAAAACTATAATTTTGACCAGAGTTGCAGCTAATCAGTATCTTCAGTGCTGATTAATCTGTCAGTTATTTTATTATTAAATGATAAAAGAAACTATGGCACCTGCAGTCCAACACCAGAAGACAGCTGTAGAGCAGCAGTTGTTTGTCTTATTTTCTGTAAAAATACCTAAACTTTTAATTAATCATCAGACCTGTCAGGTTTTTTAAATTATTTTTAATCATCTGCTCATTTTAGAACTGAGCTTCACCTCCAAAGCAAACAATTTCATAACTCTCTCAGTAGCATGGATTTATTTCAGTATTATGTTACTAAAATTCCCAAGCCCTAAAGCACAAAAATTCTATGACCCATATAAAGGCAGTTGTGAAAACCTTTCATAATTTCCTGTAAGAACAACAGTGGATGAAATGATTTTATACCATATGCAAGAAGTTCCATATGGAAATTTAACTGCAGACTCTACCATTGCTACATTTCCCCTCAATAAAGCTCCTGCTATTTAAAAGAACACGTGTTATTTTGAGTAAAGAATACTGTTATACACAGTCATTTCTAACACCATGTAACAAACCTTATGCAAGTTCATGGACATAACATGTAATGAGAAATCCAAAACCATGGAAAAAGCACAACACATCCAACATGAAGATTACAACGGGTTACCACACACACCAGTTGACTGCAATTATTTTCTCATTACTTTTTCTGTTTATGTTGAAACTCATATAACTAAAATTATGTCAGTTGGAAACAGTGCCCACAAGAACTTTTTCTATCCACTTGGTGTGTGATTAACAAAATTTTAAACAGATTTTTATCAGTTTGTACTGTAAAATGCCCCATGTAGCCTGGTATAAAGTCATAAATGGCAAATTTGAGATTTTATTTGCCATTGTTTCTATGGTCAGAGTCTGATCTGAAAATTAAAGAAAAAGGATAAATTATTTTAGGTGATTCCATTTGGATTTGTAAACATTACAGATGAGTCAGCAACTAAAAAAAAAAAATCAGATTTTGTCTTCAACTCTGAGCTTCCAAAATATGACTAATAAAGAAATATAATGCTACCATAATTCCTCCAGCAGATGAGTGCGGACCATTTTTCCCTGTTGCACCAATCTGCTGTGTGACAGTTTCCACCTGAACACATTTTCACCATCAGCCAGTTTATGATTATCTTTTCCACTGTGGCAAACCAGGCTGAGCAGTCGCAGACACAAACCCACCAACAGATAAATGGATACATACACGCACACACAGCTCTGATAAATATGTATACATTCATAGTCTATGTAAACAGACCACTGTAGGACACACACATTCACACACACATGAGCCTTGGCTCCTCCCTGGTGACTATGACCAAGCAGGTAAAGTCTCTATACATCCATGAAGGGCGTATAAATGGAACAACTGCTTGGGCATTGGTAGCACAGACTCAGTCACTTCCCATTAGCTTGACAGGCTACAAAAAAGGTTCTGACAGCCAGGATGCCTGTGACTGCTGTTGCCCGGGGTGATGGGGACATACCTGTGGCTGCTTTGTGTACTCTGTGGTCATGTGTTGAAGACTAAGCACACGTAGCAGCTGAAGCCTGGTTCTGGGAGTACACGGCGGCAGCAGCCTCACCATACATGGTTCAATAACAATAAAACTCACTCTCACTTTCATCATCTCATTCTTCTTTTGCACTCTCTCCTGCCCACACACAGTCACATTACACAGACATAGTTGAACTCAGGGCTAATTTTGAATGTTAATCACAAATTCATTTGGATAAGAATTTTAAAGTGCATTACGCAGAATTTCATGGTTTAGATTCAGAGAGTTCTTACATGTGAATGAATAATAAGACATTCTGGTAATTTAGTCGCATTCGGCCTTCATGCTAAGCTAAGCTAGCCAGCTGCTGACCAGTTACATATGTAGTGTACAGATGTGAGAGCAAAGTCAATCTTCTCAATTTACATTTGGCCAGAAAGCAAACGAACATATTTCTCAGAAATGTAAATGATTGCTATAACATTAGAAAACTGGGTCTTGGGCTATTTTTTTTTTTTTCACATTTACATTTGTTTCTGAGCACAAATATTCATATGCTCTAAAACCTGTAGTTGTTTTTGGCATATTCATGTATCTAGTTTAGGACAACACATTTCATTATTGATGTGTTGGAAATAAGCCTTCAGACTGCAGCATTTTTATCCTGTCCCCTTCTAGATATCTCTCTGAGGGGTCTTTGGAAGAACACCTGTTTTTAATAAGCTCCATTGCATCTGGCATTGCATAAATGTTTAGCAGCATTTGTTCTGGGAACTGGGGCCTGTCTTTACAGTGGA